AGCCTTTCTCCTAAAGAGCGGTAAAAATCCGCCCGAGTCTGCAATTCGCCACCCGAAATGCACCCTCCCTCCCCCACCCCTCTCAGTTATTTAATATAAAATGTATTTTTAAACACCCGCGCGGATAGCATCTCGCCAATATTTATATTTCCACGTTGCCTGGCATCCACTGTCCCACATTAGGCTCTGCCTCTCTCTCCCTCTCTCTAATCCTGCCACTTTAAATAGATGAATTAATAAAGCAAATGAGGGTCTAATAAGCTGACTGTCCTGCCTATTGAGGCAGGGGGAGAGAGACTAGAAAGTGCGCCAAATTTGTTTGCAGTGGATCAAGGCTAGCCGCCTTTGCTTCACTTTCTTTATCTTAATTCCGACTTGAAAAGATATAATTATCTAGTTTGAACAGAGCTGCTATCAAATCCTTCTCTAGGCAAGGCAGGGGAGAGCTGGAGTGGATTGCAGTGTTCTGAGCCGCTTGGTGCAGCCGGAGATAGGGAGTAATGAAGTTGTGGAGTCCTGAGATACAAAGGGCATTAACCTCATTAGCATGAAACCTTTTCTTCTAACCATTGTGGGACCCTTTCAGACTCCTAATCCCCCCTATTTTCAAAGCTTGGTTTGTAATAAAGCTTTTAGGGTTTTTTTTTCAAAGCTAATGGCATTCTCTGAAGATTTTATTGCTGTTACGCTACATAGGACGCTTAATTTTTTCCCCCCCTCTCTCCCTCTCTTCCCTCACGGTTTAAAAAAAAAAGGGGGGGGGTGGGGGGGAAGACGTATATGGTTCCTGCAGAAATAAGCCTTTTATCAAGATGGGAAACAATTTCTAGAAAGGCTCAAGTCTGCTGTCCAGCCGCGATCCGTTTAATGTTCGCCCGTTTGCGTGGGTTTGCAGTGGAGCGCAAGGTGGCTCGGGCGAGTGCGGGTGAAATGTGGGCCCTGCTTCGTGGGTTCGTGGGCCCTGCGTGGCTTCGGGACCGCACCGCCGGTGCTCGGGAGAGGGCAACGCAGGTTTACCTTGGGAATAGCTCTACCAAGTAATTAGCCCGGGTTTAAACGGAAGGGACTGCATTGCGACATGCGTCCTCACCCTGCCTGGGCCTCTCTCCTATTTGCAGCACCAGTGAATGGAAAGTCACCGGGATTGTATAAAGAGCAATGTTAAAAAAAAAAATAAGATCGGATTTTTAAAAAAAAAAATAAATTTACATAGTACCCGATAGAGCCAACACGTGCACAGAATGTCTAATCTTAACTTTTCAAGGCAGGATGTTTAACAAAGCTTGTATTTTCGTGATGCATTGTAACTTCGCCTTATCACAGTGTAAAGGGTAGTCAGATTGTCCTAAATTATGTCCAACTAGCCCCCCTGGATCCACGGATTAAGAGATTAAAGGAGACCACTGGGCAATGCCTCCTCTTTCCCCTTCATATTCCTGGTATGATAATTGCCTAAACTGATTTGCACTTTCACAAAAGCTTGCAGGATTCTTTGTAGCTCGAACAGAGCAGACGAGGTTTCTCTATCAATGGAAATAAAACTGATTAATGCAGTCTATCAGGCTAAGGAGCAAATGAAGCATGAAAAAACAACTGTGTACCCCCAGAAAACCAGCTAGTTTCCTCAAGGACCCAGAGCAACTTTTTTTTCTTTTTTTTTTTTTTTTGTGTCCCCTCCACGTCTTTAATGTCAGAGTTTTACCCTGTGCCCGGGATCCCTCCCTTAGAGCGGCGGGGAGAGCAGCAGCTGGGGCACAGGACCCGCTCCTCACCTGGAGAAGGAATTTAAAAGACGGGGAAAAAGGAAAAAAAAAAAAAAAAAAAAGAAAGAAAGAAAAAATCCTCTCCCCCTAAATAAAATAGATATTTTTTGCCAAGGAAAAGCCCCTCTCCCTCTCAGCTGAGCTGCGGACCAGTTTCACCCTCCCGTGACGAACTGGTTCGCACTTCAGTTTCCAACCAGGGAAGGGGCTGGTTTTGGTGGTGGTGGCTTTTTTTTTTTTTTTTAAGGTATTTATTTACAGCAAGTGGGTCTCTGCGGCTTATTTTTAGAGGTCTATTTACCAGCCAGTGAATTCACTAAGAAAACGCGC